TCAATTGGTCAATCAGTGTTTTGTAATCACATGATGTTGTTTATTCAGTAATTGATATCTAAAAATAAACAAAAATTTAAGGGGTAAAATTTAGGTTACATAAACATTAAATCGTTATTTTCTCAAAATGGAAACTACCCTTCAGAAGGGGGTTTTCCTAGACCATGACCCATATTACAATCCCAATGTCGGATGGATGATTCCGGGGAAACAAGAATTGGGCATAAGTCTGATTTTCAGATAAAGTCACCATTAATAGTTGATAAAGTGTAAATATGTCTTATGGAGGTTTCACGAGTTCTCTGATCCCTCTACTATTATCGTCAATGCAACAAGAAGCATTTTATAAAATTATATCAGAGTCTAAATTGATACGATCTTTTGCTCAAACAGAGATGCCTTTACTCCAAAATTCACCAATTTTATCAGCCATAGAACAATTACTAATAGTTGTCAACCATTTATCATTACCTACTGATAAAAAAATTCGTGAAGACTGAGATAAGTTGATAAAACTTATGAAGGATGCCCATGTGAGATTATTGAGGAAGCTTACTAGAGGAAGAGCAGAGACTTAGAAGAAGAGCTTAATAAAGTTCCAGTGTTTGGTATTCAAGTTGCTGGTACGTAATATTATATTCGATCTTTTTTTTTTTACTTAGAAATAACCCTTCTGTTTTAGGTGGAACTTTGGCATGTTGGGTTATGACTATGCCATTCGGTGCTTTCTATTTTGTTCAACATCTCACCTCAGTACAAATTCCGATGAATCGGGAACAGTCTTCACTTACCGAATTTATGAATGAATTGTGGAAGTTGAGAGTAAGACTATTATTTTTTGATGAAATATAGTAAAATTAATATGTTCTGGTTAATTAATAGAATTTTTAAATATGTAGGCAACTCTACGAAACTATGTCCATGTCCTTAATGAAATTATAGAAAAAGTCGATTCATCTTTATATAACATAGCTATTTGTTCTTCACAGGCTCGAGAAGATGTGCCCCTTTATGATGGAGAGTTAGGCATTAAAACAAGTTATGGTTTATTTATTATCGGGGATGGTACAGAAATCGGATGATGCTGAAATTTTAACTTATTTTTATATGAAATTTTAAAATTTTTTAAATGTATTTTTTAGCTTTTTTTTATAGTTAGGTTAATGTTTATAATAAAGGAGTATATAGGTGGGTTTTTTAGTAGGGTTTATATTATTAAATCGAGACCCCAAGTTTCAGCATTATCTGATTTCATCATTTATTATCCTATAGGTAACTACAAAAAAAGATTTATTTTATAGATATATCTACTTTATTTATATTATATCAATAAAGCTGGCCATAGTGCTCGATTTCGTATACATGATCAATTTACTCTTGCATGTGTATATTGAGTGAATTTATTTTATTGCTCGCATATGATCGAGAATTTTTTTAGTAAAGTGATAAAGCGTGAAATTTTTTCACGCAGACATTAGTCCGCAGACAATAGTATAGACATCATGTATCACGGGCGGAGTCCCGGTATTGTATTTATTTTGCATGTATTAATAATAAAAGATTTTCTTGGCAAAAGTGAACAATTGTTCACACGCGTGATTATTTATTTTGAATATTAGTGTATAAGCAGGTATATCAAACATGTCAAATGCTCAATCTATTGATTCATTGAGAGAATTAAATGCCAAACTCTTAGCTGAGATTGCAGAGCTTAGGAAGGAGAATGCTGAAATTCTTGATCTTAGAAGGAAGTTTACTGAGATCGAGGCTGAGAGAACTGAACTTAAGGCCAGGATTTCCGGGCTTCTAAGACAGTCTGTGGAAGAAAATAAGATGCGTGATGCTGAGAATGCCAAACTCAAGGCAAGAATCGAGGAGTTGGAATATGAGAATGTTGAGTTTAGAGATAGAATCACGAAAGTAGAGGCAGTTGCAAAATGGTAACGTTACTAAGGTAACCAATTCTTCCATTAACAGTTCATCTAACTTCAATTCGGTTACAAAGCAGTTACCTATGGAAGTGCATAGCGAAAAATCATTGGAAGATATCAGTGTAAACTTAATTGTGAGACTGTTGACACCAACTCTAAGACATCGGAAGAAAAGGAGACAGATGAGGCATATAAGGAAAGCATTAGTGATGAGGAAGCATAAAAAAAAGCTTCAGCACGAATCAGCTAAAAATCAAGCCCAGAATTTATCTTCAACTGATCAAGCACCTCTCTCAATCAAAGATTTCGGAAGATAAACATTTATCTGGCTCAAGTCCTCCTTCACCAGTTGTCCAGAAAATAGCATACAACCAGAAAATTGAACAAGGTATTATTCAAGAATTAATTTTGTTTATTCAAAAAGGGGCGTCCACTTCTAATGAGGTAGTGGCTGATAATAGTGGACGAGACTTAGCTCAATTATTTTCTGATGCTGAAGTTACGGAAGGAAAAACAATAGAAGCTAAGCAAAAAGAACTTATATACTGGTATATTTATAGAGAATCATATCAAAACAAGGTTGCAGAAATCCGATCTAAAACTGGAGTAGCCGAAAAAACCGCAAAGTCTCAAGTTTATGCCATTATTAAAGCTTTTCTACCCAAAGTTTCGAAAATGAATCTGCGCAAAAAAACTCAAAGAGCTGGGAGTGTTTATAAGCTATTTGGAAAAATTATTGATCCTACAACTAAGAAAGAAGTCAAGGGAATCGGTATTGACAAGGCTTATGGAATTTCATATGGTGTAAGAAGTATGTCAGAATTAACTAATACTCAAATCCTAATACTAAATATTATAGATCGAGTGGTAGAAATCACATGACACCGTGACCGTTGGTCACAATCGAAATAATGTGACTGAAATTTTACCAAAGGTAGACTCACCTATTTCTGCAGATTCAAAAAAATTACCAGAAATTCTTATCAAAAACGAATCAGATATAGATACTCTTATCCTTCTTTTACGGCGAAAATTCAAAATATCAGAAGAAAGGTTAGAACAATGGAGAGACAAGATTGCCTTTGAATTACAAGATAAGTATACAATATTGGGCAAAAATTGTCGAATAACGGTAATTTGGCAAATGGGCACGTGCCGCTTTGCGGCACGT